GCCTCTCTCTCGTTGTACTCGCGTAGTCTCGTCTTCTCCTCCTTCAGCACGACAGAAATGCCTAAAAATGGCTTGGTCAGCCCACATGAAGAAGATAAACGTCGATAAAGGGCCTGAACCGGGTCGGGACTTACTAGTTGACGGTGATTGAATGATGCCAAATCTGCCTCGTCCCTTGTAGTCCATCGACTTGGATCTCCAGGGTCCTCTTCCCACCCAAGACTCCGCGACGTAGAGCTTCGATGAGTTGTCGACTCTCAAAGCTTTGCCGTCCTTGGTCTCGATCTTGATTGGATCATGTGATTTACCCAGACCCATGCCGCGGCTGACGATGGCCAGATCTCGAGCTTCTTCGAGCTGATACTTGACCTCCCGGGCCATCTTCTTCTTCGAGTATCGCATCTGCAGAATCGCCTCATCCACACTCTTGCCCTGTACTTGACGAGCTAGGTGCACAAGTTTCTTGACGCTGGTCTCCAGGAAGGGACTCTTATGCTGGAGCTCCTTCTCCGTCTGGGCGATGCGCTCAGAGCGGCTGACGCGGCCGTTGCGACGAACCATCTGGATGACTTTCTTCCTCTCCCATCGTAGACGAGCTCGCGGGTCGGGGTCAACCCGGTACGACATAGTTTCTGCCGTCTTCACAGAGCTTTGCATCCCGGGGGCAGTTTTTCCGCCCTCGGCGACAGCATCCTCAACTTCCTCTTCGAAAATAGAATTGGAAAGCGAAGCCTGCTGCTTCTTGGCGAATTGCTCGCGGATCTTGGGGTCGTTAAGGTTCTGGCCACCGCTGAAGGAATCCTCAACAGGATTGCTCTTCTTGCGGCCGAACATGCCAGAGAAGCCCCATTTGCTTCGAACTTGAGTGGCCGGGCGCAAGGGAAGAATAAGAGGCCTCGTTGGTCGTGCGATGGATTGAAGGGTTGAAGAAGCTAATGGACGATAGAGATTAGCTGGTCGATCCGCCAGTGCCATGTCGAAGTAGCAACTTCACGAACGGAACACATAATCCTCGAAACTGACCGGAAGAGGTTAATCTCCTCGCAGGGAGATGGATGTTCATGGCTGCTGTTGTGTCTGCTGGACGTTAAACCAGCAATCCTACGTCGCCATTCCCGTTCCTGCAGAAAATTGCTAGATCAGAACATCTGATATGCAGAGAGTTGCGCCCGGGCCAATGCGGGCCGTCGTTCTGTGGATCTACATTAGTCCTTAGCCGGAGTTGACCCGTTTGCACCGAGCCAGGAACACGGACGCTTATGTAAGGATACGATGACGCCAACCAGCAGCCAACCAGATGGAGGGGGATTCAAAGACCCAGGCCTGCCTGGCTTAGGTAATGTGAGAAGTGCGGGAAGGTCAGGAACAAGTCACCTACGGATGGGGAGAATTTGACATCACGTGATGACTCCATCGCGCGAATTCATCAGACCATTCGAGCTACCCGAGGACTTGAGCATCACCAAAGCACCCTCGGATACACGAAATATCGCCTCAATCGACCCTCACAACTCCCACTCAACTCCGCATCACAATGGCCGGCACTACTGCTGTCAAGCCCATCACGGGCGTACGTTTCCCGAATCAATTGAGCACCTTGAGCCGCAGTCGCCGGGCCTACGGAGCATGAACAGTTGTTGGCTAACAGCGGACAACAGATGCTGCGACGCAACCTGGTCCTCGACCTTGGCATCGCTCTTGGTGAGTTCTCCCCGAAACCCTCTTTTGGTCCGCAGCTGGAATTGCGCCGCCCCATTGCGCTCCTTCATGGGCCATCCTCGGGATATGCATCGATGCGCTCGCTACCCAGCAGTCACCCACCCTTCGGACCAGTATCCTAACTTACTCGCAGGTCTCGGCTTTGCTATGGCCAACGTCTACTGGTATGCGAACACCGGATTATATTCGCCCGATACTTCACGCAAACATGCTCGAACTAACCGTATGTCAGGTACGGCTTCCACATGCCTCGCACGAACGCTCGCGATGCCTATTACGCCAAGTTGGAGCAGCAGAAGGCTGAGGCTCGTGGCCAGAAGCAGTAAATGACCACAACGACGACGATTGACTGCGGTGGCGGCAGAAAACGAGGGCACTTTCTTCGATTAGCGATGGGATTGAGAGAGCATTCGTGGTTATAGACAAGATACGGGCTTCATCAGCTGGTCAACCGACCCCGATTGTACCATACACGCCAGCAAATCGAGTCGAGAACTATTCTTACGTCGAGGGCAACGGTTCAATGGTGTGACGTGCAGAAATTATTGCTGCGAGGCGTGTGAGGCGCTCAGTCAGACGTGCTGCTTGTCGCGAACATGATACTGTCACCAATGCCTCAAAAGACGAAAAACTCAAAAGTCCGTCTAACATACAAAGCTCCCAAGGACTTCATGTCTTAAAGGGACCGTGAATTCTGTTCGTAGCTTTTGGATCGCCTGCCTTTTTCCAGCACCTGAACATTTTTATTTCTCCCACAACTCTGGCCATTCATGATACGTCCGCTGGTCACCATTTCCCTCTCTGCCATGGCCCTGGCGGACGTCTGTACTGCGCAAGCCCAAAGTATTGGTGTGCCCATCTTTGGGTCCAGCATTCAGCCCTTCCCATGCTGTGGTTTCAACAGTAAATGTACCCTTCTTATCCTGGCATCTATTGAAGGTAATGTTCAGTAATCTTAAGCATGCCATGGGAATGAATCATATCGCCGATTTCGTGCCGCATGAGATTCGCCAAGTAGAACAAAGTTGGGAACGGACTTACTGCCGGAAAACCCGCATGATAGGCCAACATCCAATGGGGCTGTCTCTGCGGTCGGGGTTTTTGACGGTGCATCTAAACTGCGTCATCGCCCGCAACGCGCACTTGGACAAATCGACATCAGCACCCCTCTCAAGCTTGCGCTTTTTGCCTCTCAGGTCCGCCTGCACATGTCGCGGCAAATCCGACGCATCGAAAACAAGGCAGGGCGGGGTCATCTCGGCTGCAGAGGCGGCGTCGAAACCAACTGCAAGGATGAAGAAATATCTGGACAAGAAAAAGTATTCGCGGCTCTCGATGAGGGGCAGGAGGCTCTTGGGCGACGCCAAAGAGACCACGCTAGAACAGGTTGGTGTGCCACAAGATGAGAGGCGATAAGTAGTCTGGACTGGTGAGGTTGAGTAAATGGTGGACGGTGGATGGGGTCGGTGTTTTGGGGGGTCGGCGGACGCAAACTTTTGGTCCGTGGAGGAGCCAGACAGCTCACCACTCACACACCTCAACCCCCAGGCTATTTGCATCAAACCATCACCAGGCTCCGTTCGGCATGTCACAGCAGATCTCTTTTTCGCACATTTGTCATCGTCATACAGCTGACTTTGTTTCGATAGGTCTTGGACGTCTTCAGCGCAGAACACAAGCCCGTCAACCCCACGAAAAGGAAGAATCGACCTAATTTCTTTCCCATCCCACTCCTGAATGCGTTCGCCGTCAAGAACTTTCGTGCTACACAATCTATTCCTCTCGCCGTCACCGGCCGTCAACTCCCGCTCATCTACCGGCTTGTGTCGGGCCTCGTGTCCGCGCCCCACTGCAAGACGGTTCTCATCTTCGACACAGAAGGCCGCTTTGACGTAACACGCCTCTGCTGCGGTGTCGACGACATCCGTCACGTGTACGTTCAGCGTCCGGCGCGCCGTGGTATCACCGGCAGCACCAATGGCCCTGCCGATCCAAAGCGCATTTCCCCAGACCAACTTAGGGATCAAGTCGCTGCGGCCGAGCAATGGATATTCTACGGCAAGCACAATAGCGGCGCACGCGAGTTGTGGGGGACTGTGGTCATCGGAGCCATCGGAGCCGGCGACATAGTGGCCGCTTGGAGAGGCTGGCTGGATGTCGAACGCGCCAACGTTCCCGGGTTCTCCATCGCGTGCAGCGCAGAGGAGGCCATCAGCGATCGCCAAAGGCGTCAAGAAGCCGTTGACGCGGCACTGTGGGTTGCCTCTGCGAGGTGGGGAAGCTTTACCTTCACGGAATCCTTTCCTCATGCACCCGAATCTCACCACAGCAATGCAATGACGACTGGAAACAGTTAAAAGTGATGGGGCCGTGGAGGATGCGGAGGAGGAGACAAAAGAGGAGATGCGAGTGGAGCGAGCATGCTTCTCGTAATGTCCAGTGCAACTACATCTGCAACTACGTGCTACATTGCACATTTAAGGACATGCTCAGGATGCTCTCTTTCTGTGTCTTGACCAACATCTCTGAACCCACCATACCCACATGTTCCACTTGCATATGAAGACAAACCCTACTACAACAACCCACCGTTGCAGCACTCCAAGTCATGTTACCTCGGAGCTGGTGTACTTGGAAAACACGGAGCGGAAAGGGATCGGCGGCCCAGGTAGCCGAAGGGGGGGGGACATGCACCAACGCCAACACCGGCCGGACTTGGCATGTATTACAACAACACGGCGCCGCGCGAGGCCGCAGCATGACGGAGATGCGCAGGCTACGCATCGGCCCAAACGGGTAGGACCAGATCCCTCTCGGCATCTCAATCCCGTCTTATTACCTTTCATGTCTCCCAAAGCCAATCAATCACCATGTACATGGTTCGGCAGCGGCGTGAAAAATTGTAACGAAGCCGGCCAAGAGATGAGTTAGCTTCAGGGACCTCCTTAATCGTGCCATAAACAAGCATTTCGAAGCTTGGCGATAATTGCCAGGTGCTGGGCGCGAAAATCAAGCCAAGTGTGTGTCATGATGGTTGTACAGGTTCAAGTGCTCAAATCCCTCGGCGTCAAATGGCGCCTGTGTATCGTGTATTCTGCTGTCGCTAGTCTCGCAACTCTAGATTGCGGTCATGTACCTCGTTGATTGGAAAACGCCAGTGGTATCACAATTTTCCCCCGAACTAAACAAGTACCCTAAACTCTTAACCCCAACACTAAGAAAAAGAAGGAAGTGGCTCGCTAGCAAACAAAGTCTTAGATCACGAAGTTCACATGGCTACGCTAGCCCAGAATTGGCTGGTTACGCTCCTCCAGAGGAGTGAAAACGGCGCTGTCCTTCGACTGAAGAGCCTTCAAACACTCCTCTTCACCGAGAATGTCCTTTCTCAGCGATGTGACAACCCTCTTGCGGATCTCGCGCTGGATGCCGTAGCGCACAGCGTCTAGGACGTTATCGACAGTCGCCTTGGGCTTGTAAGCCGGCTCCGTACCATCTTGGTAGACACCGGTCTTGACGAGGATGCTGTGCCACTCATTGTCCGCATACTCATCGTAGGCGTTGGTGCCCCGAATATCACTCTCCGGTGTGTCGCCAACAAAATAGACGGTGTCGGGAGGTGCGTCCAAGCCGTGTTGCTGACGACGCCATTGCTGCAGCAATCTCGTTGCAAACTCGAAGGTACTGACCTGGGGCTTGCCGAAAGCGTGGGTGTGCAATTTGCCCTTCTTCTTGGTAACGTCGCGGAAAATGACCTCCAACATGCGGCGCAAAGCGCCCATACCAAGACGAACATTATCGTGGGCAGCAGACCAGACGACATCGTTATGAGAGAAGTAGATCGGTGGGCCCTCGTCGAAAGTTTCGCTCAGAGTACCGAGACGGCCTCCCTTGGACATGGCGAGATCCAGCATAATTTGAATGTCGCCAGCCCAGTCTCGGGAATCAGCGAAGACAAAAATGGCTTCAATGGTGACATCCGTGAAATCTCTTTCGCGAGAATTTGTAAGTTCGTCCTGAGTGAGCTTGCGGAAGGGGGTTGTTGCGGAGTTATGCTTGATAATGTCTCCGGGTGTAATGACATCCTTGAAGCCATAGCCCTCTGCAACTTCGCGGCACTTTTCGCCCTCACCGCCAACAACAAGGACAGTGTTGAAGCGCTCGGCCATTTCCCTCATGGGAGTGTGGCCGCAGATAAACTGCGCTGGCGAAATGTCGATCTGCATCTGCTTAGACAGATCACCACATCTCTCTTCTTCCGTCTTACCACCGCCATTGGTGAGGAAGATGTACGGACTGTTAGACGTGCATGTTAGCATCCATCATTGGCGAGCAGAAAAGCCACGATGCGGCGGATACAAGTGGGGCCGTGCGATGTGGGCGGGGTGACAACTTACATCTGGATACCGTATTCGTTGTCGCCATTCAACACCTTCATCGCCTCAACTGCTTCGGGGATTGCCCGACCTCCTCTAATGAGGACACCGTCGATGTCGAAGGCGAAAGCAAAGCTGTCAGCGACAGGGGCGTCGATTGTGGGCGTGACTGGTGACAGCGCGCCGGCAGGGCTACCCAGAGCTGATGATCCAGCAGAGCCGCCGGCGGAGCCATCCAGAGAGGATTCGGGAGTGCTTAGAGCAAGATTGTCCAGTTCCTTGCGGGCTGCGACAATGCTTTCAATGAAGCTGCCGGTGGACGAAGCTCGGTGGTTGGGAGCCATGTTTTATAACCGTTGTGAGGGGAGTCGAACACGGAGGGAGCAGACTAGTTTCCTGGTGCGCAATCAAGTGAGGTGATGAGTAGTAGAATGCACCCAAGCTTAATCTTTCAAAGATAAACAGCGGTCAAAAGCGCTGATGAATCGGAAAAGTAGATGATGAAGCAACAATAAGCACCATCTTGAGAATGCGTCCTGGGAACCACCGGCTTATATAGTCCAGGTATGAGAGCATCTTGACTTGACGCTGACGTCTCACTCTAATAGCTGACCTCTCTTTCTGGAGCACTCTCTTTCCAACGTGTGGATGTCTCCGCAAAAACCAGGCAAACGCAGGCCCTTGTTGACTGATACCCCTGGGATGAGTTTCTTGAGTCGTGCATGGTCCGTGGATACGTGGAGGCGAAGTAGCATGAGAAGTTTTTTTGGATCCTAGACCTGAGTGCTCCACTGAGGGAGACACAAGGACCTTACCTGGTGGTGAGAATTCTGATTCCTACAGGATACAGCAGTACATGTTTAGGATAGGCTCAGTGCCCAATCTCCAAAGTATCCTGCGTGTGTGTGCGCCTGTTTGAAAGCAAAGAAACGTGGGCACAAAGCGGAGCGACGGCGGTGAGATTCAGATTGGGGTCGGCGCAAAGGCTGGGCCGGGCAAAGAAATGAGCGAGTCACCCAGCGAGCCGCCAACCAAGATGGCAGTTTGAGAGAGAGCATGGTGAACGAGGCTCCATCCGGCCCCAGTTTGCCAACCGTCATGGTGGAGACTTGGCTTTCTGGTTCCTCGTTGCGGCTGCGAAAGGTTCCGCCGAGAAGCAAGGAGAGGCCCTCGAAATGTCCCGAGAGGGATGATGATAACTGGACTGATGCGGCAGCGATCGCCTTTCCGAAGCGGCCTTGGCGAGTGCACATGCAAGCCGCCATCACGCCCGTTGGACCCTGAAATAAGCAAACTTTCAAGACTTTCGGACGGGTGCTGCGGCTTGCGGCATGGTCAGCCAAAAACAGCAATGATGAGGGAGGGACATCCAAGATGGACAAGGGAAGCGAGAGAAGAAGCGACACGCAGTCAGAGAGAAGGACGCCTCGGGCCAACGAAAGGTAAAGACAGCCAGGAGTTTGATCCGGTATCTTTCAAAGTATATGCCCCGCCACCTTGTGTCTAGGTAGTACAAATGGTACATCGGTGCAGGTTTTGTGTGATGCCTCTCACTTGAAAAGGGCAGAGAACACTGTGAGGATGCCCCCCCACTGCCCCTCCCCCTCCTCCCATCCTTTCCCCTTCCATGGCTCCTATTGGATCCAGGTGCTGCTCCTTATCGATCGTTCCTTGCGATACGCCTAGACGTTACAGGGATGGTGCCAGTAACCTGCCGTGATAGCACAGATTGTGGTCCACAAATGCGAGAATGCAATCGCACCATGAGGTGAGAGCGAGGGCGTCGGTGTCAGGAAAATTGGAAAAGTGTATACGTAGCGCAGGCCTCGACGTGAGAGTTCTGGCCGTGTGGTGGCCAAGCGGGCTCCATCAGAGCGGGTCCGGAGAGCCCGCAGTGACGTCAGACTGATGGATACCGACTCGAGACACTAGTGTACAGACAAGGGTTCAGAAACCGATGTGACAGGCCGGATTATCGGGTGATTGGACCAGGAGGGCTCCGCAAGACGGGCCGAAGGAACTTCCGCACCATCGGCTGGCTTAGGTAATGCGCTTGTGGCGGCAATGAACCGGGCGCTTGGAAAGGGGGTCGGGCGTGTCTACCTAAGGTACGGTTTTTCTGATACCGGTTCCGCATGATAGGGCTTGTCTCACTGCCTGCTAATTAAGCACGGCTGGCATGGCCTTGAAGAAAAAAGTTGATTCGAGAGTCCAGCAATGCTGGTCCTTGGCAACTGCCCACAGAAGGCCGTTTTCCTGCCAACGTATCTGGGCTAACAGCGACTGACTCGGCGAATGACGTCTCGTTGCGGCTTCTCCATGTCATTGCGAACAGGACCACAAATCCACAACATCTCCAGGCCATCCACATACGTTGTACCCGCCGCCACGGGCACGTCGCTCCGCGGTCTGTCCCTCATCAACATTTGTGGGTGAACTGGCTGCTCCCACCCTCCCTGTTGAGGGACGGGCGCAATACGCACAGTATCTCCTCTTGGGGTCCGAGGAGTGGGAGGGCACGAGGGACAATGGAGCATAGGCAACGGGACAATGAAGCATATGGCCAAATATTCGACTCGTACAGTATGTGTTGGTCAATTCGACACATTCCCCAAGTATCCACTGCGTTCCCAGCGACATGTGCGACGCATTGCAGGCTCACTGCGCGAGGTAAGGTCAAGTAGGGTGGGCAGGCAGGCAGGCCGCAGGCAGGCATGGCATGGTGGGCATGGTGGGCATGGTGGGCATGGTGGGCATTCTCACAGGCTCGGGACGACCTCTTGATGCGCGTTTTATCATCCATAGCCTTTTGTCTCTCTGTTTTCCTGCGCCTCGCCGTCTTCTCCTGCGTAGCTACGCCATCGGTCAGCTTTGCCGAGACGAGGCAGGACGTTGGCCGAACAGAAACAGGCCATGGTCCGGCGCTATCGCTATCGCGTCCCGCTGCCACCACGCGCGCTACTCGCCATTCGCATTGTGATGCCGTCACCGTCCGCCGTCTCTGTACTTATATGCACGCCCCCCCTTGCAACTCCCCTTGCCATCCATTTTTGTCTGCCGTAAGTCCACCGGAGACAGTTTGGACATACGGGCCTTGTCATTCCTCATAAACCTGCTGCATGTTTCAGCCAGATCCTATTCGCCTGCTGCAGCTCGTTGGGCAGAAAACAGCATGGACAACGACAGGCGAGAATGAGAGGAGGGAAACAAGTACCAGGAGCCCATGGTACTACTACTCTGCAGACACCAAGGAGGCTGAGGGGCTCCACGAGGGAATAATGGAGGGTCATGGTTCCAATGGGCTGGCGTGACTGGATGGCCAGAGCACGAAGGTGGATTCTGGGAGACGCCGCTCACTTGCTAATAATCAATCATACATCCATCCATCCTTGGAGCTGCGTTTCACCCATGATAATGGGCAACGCAGGCTAGGCCGGCAGGTAGTAGCCAAAGCGCCTTCGCGTGCGAGGTGTGTGTGCATCTCCCTTTTATCCCTCATTCGTCTTGCAATATGCCTCATTCCTCATTCCTATTTTACGATACCTTCGGGCAGGATTCCCCGATACCAAACACTAAAATGGAAACCCGAACAGGTCAGGGGTCATGGCGCTTATTGAAGGTTGACGAAGAGGCCGCCATCAACGAGTAACTGTGCACCGGTAACATAACCGCTGAGCTCTTCACAGGCCAAGAAGACGGCCGGGCCGGCAAGGTCGGACGGCACTCCGGTGCGGCCCAGAGGAATGCGGGACTCCATGTATGTGCGCTTGGCATCATCTGAGAGATCTTCATCGTTCAGCTGGGTCTTGATGGTGCCAGGGAGCAACGCGTTGCAGCGAATTTTATGCTTGCCCAGAGCAACAGCGGTGCTCTGCATCAAACTGAGGACACCGGCCTTGGTGGGAGTGTAATGTGTTTGCAGACCGCCACCGACGAGGGCAGAAATGGATGAAATGCCTATGATGCTGCCTCCCGGGGGCGACTGCTGGCTCATCTGGCGAGCAGCAGCTTGTACGACATAGAAAGCACCGTCGAGGTTGGTGCGGACAGTTTTGGTAAAGAGGTCTGGCGTCAAGTCGAGAAACTCGGCAAAGGTGCAGATGCCAGCGTTAGAGACACAGACGTCGAGGCGGCCGTTGCCCGAGTGCTTAACAGCGAGAGCCACCAGCTGGGCGGCGGTCTCGGGCTCGCGAACGTCACCCACTTGATGAGCGAAGCGTCCGGCGTTGGGGTTCGCCGTTCTCAAAGAAGCTGCCTCGGATTCGAGAGAATCGAGATGAGGTTGGTCCTTCTCAAGGCCCAGGTGGTTGACGACCACATCGGCTCCTTGTTTGAGGTATTCAAGACAGATGGCACGTCCTATACCGGTGGTACCCCCAGTGATGATGGCGGTCTTGCCGGCGAGAAGGTTGGTTGGAGCCATATTGATGTCAGATGGCTGCGCGGTAGTCCGGGACGTCGCACAGAAGCTGGAGGAGGTGAGGTTGATTTTATGTCGGGTGCGGGGTTGTCTTGGGCGGCAAGGGTGTCGGAGGATTTAGTTGGTTCGACGGCGAGGGGACGGCGACACGGGTGAGGAGAAGCCGGAGGGGTTAGACAAGATCGATCGTAGCCTACTTCAAATTGATGGCGTGCAAGATGGTTCGTTGACTCTCTTCCGGCTGTCTTTTCTCGATCGAAGCGTGTACGTTCTGACACGGGTGGACGAGTGGCTGGCCGGCAGAGTATTTGTAGCTGCGGACGATCGTGTGGTGGTGTGGGTGACGGCGGTGGAGGAGGCGGAGACGCGGGAGGAGCACGAGGGGTTAATGTGCAGCGAGGCCGGTTCTTTGGAGCACCGACGAACCGAGTCACGATGCCCAAGTTGGTATACAAGGTAAGATAGGTAAGCTAAGGTAAGGTAGGTACTAATTAGGTGCCTAAACTTAGGTGAGGCAGGTCGGGACTTTTGGTAATCTTTGTTGCCAGTAGGAATGCACCTTAAGGTAGGTAGGTAGGTGGGTAGCAAAGGATGCGCAGGCATCGTGTCTTTCCGTCAGAAAGCATCATCAAGGCTACCGGGCTACCTTACCTACCTTACCTACTCGGCCTACCTAAGGTACCCTTAAGATAGTGCCGTCCCCGGAAGGTGTCTGAGGTGCCCAGGCACACAGCCCGTCTATTCCAGTGTCCCTTCCCCCAGATCACTTCCATAAGGTGCCTACCTTAGGTACCGTACCTACCTTATGTCAGGTTTCATTCACTGAACGTCAGCCCCTTAAAACCCCCACCATGGACCCACCACGAGCTGTGTCCGTTCTCTACCTAGTCACTCACCCCGCGTCCTCGGGCCTCATTACAGCGAGCCAACCCCACCAAGCACAGTCGGGAGTCCCTCGTTCTAACAACGTCCACGCCGCTGACACGGCCTTTGCTCCGCGACCTTGGGCGACCCGACGCCATTTATTCATCGCCTGTCTCGGATTTTCCGGTGCGTCATGCCCTTCGGGTGTCCCGATAATGGATATCATCTCTCTCAACCACGTAATCACTGCCATGGTTAGACTGCTGCTGGCCGTCCAGATCAAGTAACACTTCTGATGTCAAATTCGGCAGAGACCGAAGGCATAGGGAACGAAGAACACAGTGAGCCGACATTAACATCCAATTCATTCCATTGCTACAGCATTATGAGAGTATTCATGGCCGCTGGTTGCGGCACTGTCCCAAGGGTCTCGTTTGCAATGGCTCCCCGCCGAGGACAGTACTTCGCACTCCACCACCGTTCGCCTCTATATTTCATGACCGTGCATGCCGTGAGCCTGTATTCTCTCCTTGTACTTCAAGCGCCATTCGTGACGTTCGCAGCCGCCTGCTCCTCTGCCGTCTTCAAAGGCCTCTCCTATCTTACTGTTAGTCTTGATACAATCGCATGTGGGTGGGTAGCTAGTTTCTTACGATGTTGGTGCTGAGCAGCGCCTTGCCTGGAATCAACTTTGACCTCACGGCGGGGTTTAACGTTAAGCCAAAGCCAGGCTTATCCAAGTCTGCCGTTGTAAGATATCCCTTGGTGGGAATGGGCTCGTCCAGGAAGAGATCACCGAACACGGGAAGCACGCTCTTGCCATCTGGGGAGTTGGCCAGGTACTCTTGGAATGGCGTGTTGGGCTGTGAGATGACAAAATGGTAACTGTACGGGCCACTGGCGTGAGGAACAACAGGAATGTCATAGGCGGACGCCATCGCCGAAACCTTGAGCAGCTCTGTCAGGCCACCCAGCCACATGACGTCGGGCTGGATGATGTCGAGGTTGCGGCCCTCGATAAGCTTGCGGAACCCAAACCGTGAGTACTCGTGCTCGCCCGTTGTGAACTTGATGGTCGGGTGTGCCCGCTTGATCTGCTCGAAGCCGTCCGTATCGTCGGGGGACAGACACTCCTCCCACCAGTTGATGTTAAGGTCCTCGCACGCCTTCGCAATCTCGATTGTGTAGGGCACGTTCAGACTCATGTAACAGTCCACCATGATGGGGAAGTCGGGGCCGACACTCTCACGGTGCTTGCGCAGGAACTCGACGTTCTTCTTCAGCCCAACGTGTCCCTCGTCTGGGCAGTATGGGAGAGGAACCTTGCCGCCCCAGAAGCCCATCTCCTTGGCCGCAGCCGGCTCAGGACCGGTGCAGTAAAAATCGAGTCGCTCCTTGGTGGCACCACCGATCAGTCTATAGACAGGCTCATTTCTCAACTTGCCCAGCAAATCCCAAATGGCCAAGTCAATGACGGAAATGACGGCGAGGGGCAGACCCTTGCGGCCGTAAAACATGGAGCCTCGGTACATCTGCTCGAACAGCAGGTTCGTGTTGCGTGGATCGGCACCGATGAGGAAGCGCTCGAAGTGCTGATGGACGAGCCAGCAAGCCGGAGGACCTGTGCGTCGTGTATTAGCAAATTAGTTTCTCCGTCGTCTCGCCCAAGAAAGGCGTCGCGAATACACCCAGCTTACCTCCAAAGCCAGTAGCAATTCCAACGGTGCCATCTGAAGATTCAATCTCGACGAGAAACGAGCCTAGGACGTTGATGCCCCAACTCGTTCTGGAATTGCGGTATTGCTCCCATCGCGAGCAAGGCGTGGAGATGGGGCTGTCAATCAACCTGTTGAAAATCAGTGTCAGTCGCGCTTCTGTGACACGTCGTACCGCTGCAGTCGGAGCGACGTGGTGGGAAGCTTACCAGTGGCCGCCCTTTACATTGTGGTAGTCGCCTCCGGAGCCGACGCCGCCAATAACGAAGGTCCGAATCTCCTTGATGGACGGGAAAGACCTCACGGACGCCATTGTGTCACTCACTGTATGGCTCTTGCTGAGGAGGTGGAAGTGGTGGTGAAGAGGGAGTGACGCGCTGCAGGGACAATTACGAGAGCCACGATGCGGTTGAAGAAAAGCGATTGAGGGGGGGAGAAGATGTGAGGGGAAGAGAAATACACCAGCGTCTTTTTAAGAATAATTGGAGGAAGTCGCCATGCGGTATGCGGGCGGGCTTACGAAACAGACAAGCCGAGCTGAATACCAAGGGAGGGGATAAAAAAAAAAAAACAGGAGACAGCTTATCAGACGACGGAACCTAGGCGGCCAGGCAAGAAGCAACTGGGCAAAACCGGCAACGGCAACATGATCAGGTTAGTGGGGGTAAACAAGGCATGGCTGGGCCGAGAGTCTCGTGGGCTCAGCTCGTGCTGCCTCACTGACTGAGGTAAGGTAGTGAGCGGTGGACGGGAAGGTTTTTGGAGATCGGTGTCAAATGTCCCGACAGGCGGAATCCATTGAGACTCGGCATGGGGGTTCGGAAGCTCCAGCGTACGCTCAGGGCACGAAGGACCCTCCTTACCTCCACTGCAGTGTGCTTAGGTAGGTATGGAGTCCTTCCCTCTCCGTGCGTCGGCCGGGCTCCGATCAACTGCTGGCGTGGGCAGCAACTCGAAGGATATGACCAGCGAGGTTGATGTCGTTCCGGCGGATGCAAGACGCGCCGGGTTCGGTATGGAACACGGCATGGAACACAAGCTTCTCTGCTCGACCAACAACGAACTCAATCGAGTAAGTAGCACAAGGCTCGACTAATTGCCCTGCAGGCGCTCGCCAATCGGACATTTCAATGTATAACTGGGCTTGCGGAAGGCGATGGCGGATGAGTCTGCGTCTCTGGGTCGACGACAGCAATCCTGGTTGGGTTGCGTGGAACGGGAAAGGCCGAGCCACGTTGCTCTCACCTCAGAGTCAATTCGGGTGAGCTCTGTTCCGTACGAATCCCAGCCATGGTCTCGTGACAATTGGCATTCGGGGAATGGGACAGCTCTGCCCGAGATCTAGTCCGGGAGCTTTGGGTACCTTAGGCTGCTTCTCCTGAGGCATCAACAGGTGCTTTCCTCCACTGCGGAGGACTCCAGGTCCGGTCGCAGCCCGACTTGGGAGGCCGGCGGTAGCCGTCTCCGCACCACGACTCCCGTCCAGGTCTGCCCGGCGCCGGCGGATCGCACACGGCGGAGATGTCGCGATTGATCACGTGGAGCCTGCCATTTGCGGGTATGCTACTGCAGTGTGGTCGTAGGTAGGCAATGGAATTTCCTTGCCTCGGCCTGGCGCAGCCGCTAGATCACGGATCTCAAGCCACCTCCACATTCTGTCCGCGTGGCCTCCACAGTTTGCTTACCGCGTAGGTACACCGTACCCAGGAGTTTTGGCATTCCATCTGTTGGAGTCTGTCCAATCCGAGGCGCCCGTTTCTTCTCCGCCTCCACACTCACCTCCGCACCCCTCGCGGGCCTCTCCGCTTCGCTTCCCCTCCCCCGAATTCCCTCCCCCCATCCACCTTCCCCTCGCCGCCATTCCATTCCCTGTCCTGTCCGTTTGTCTGCCTGGCCCTGCCTGTCTGTCTGTCTGTCTGTCCACTGCTGCCGTCCGGGGTTGTCACATCATTTTCTTCCTTCTGTTCGGCCTGCGGCACGTGTGGGACGAAAAACAAAATACCCCGAGCCTCCTCTTGCCCTCCGCCCCAGCCTCCTGTTCCTGTGCCCTTTTTTTCCCACCCTCTGCTCAACATTACCCCGAGCTTCCCAAGCTTCTCCCGAAGTTTGCGTTGCGAATCGCACAAACGCCTGCAACTCCAGCGAATTTGCCGCCCTCGCTGCGCGCGTCATACCCAACCACGCATCTTGCCTTGCCTTGCCTTGCCTTGCCTTGCCTTGCCTTGCACCCGCGCACCCGACGACTGCCTTGCGCTGCGTCGCGTCGCCCATCCGACCCGCGCACCTGAGGATGCAGCACAATGGCGGACACGCTCTCAGCAGCCGGTCACCGCCTGCAGCCAACACTACCAAGTCTCTCCAGAATCTGAACCAGGACCAGAACCAGTCGCAGACCCAATTCCAGACCCAGTCCCTGAACGACCA